TACCTAGAGCTCACTAAGTCAAGCTTGTATGAACCCTGGCAGCCATATTTCAGCTACTCCTTGAAGGTGAGGACCATATAAAAGCGCTGAAGAGTTCCATAGAGGATCTGCAAGGGGTGTTTTCGTTAGCAGACCGACCAGGAGCAGCAGCTCAGAGTCTGGCTGACTGAGACACAGGGACAGCCAGCCAAAACAGGATGCGCATGGAGATTGCGTTCCCTCTGAATTTGTTTGTCATGTCTACCGTAACCGGCCGGCCACACACGTGTGTGTCTATGTGTGCCTAATCAATTCCAACCATAAACGATGCTATACGAAAACAGTGGTGACGAAGAGGACAAACTCGACAGAGGCAATCCGATTGGGAAAACACTTACCAGGCTGGGAAAATGTTCCTGGATGACAGGCGGGCAGCTTGAGGCCGGAATAGTTGAAGCATGAGCTCATGTTGAACTGGTTGAGCTGAAAAGCGTCTGGAATAAGCCAGCCCGGGAAGCGACTGGAAGACACTAACCTGCTCCTCCTTGATCGGCGTCGGGGTGGCATTGAAGGCTTGCATAGACAGATTCATGCCGGAGAAGACGTCTGCAAAAAAACCGCTAGATAGGGTATCAGGTAGACAATTTGGGCCTGGAGAGAGCTTGGAAAGGGCTAAGAGAATCCCTAAGGGTTCTCAGCGTTCCAGCGTAGCTCTGAATGGGACAAACGGCAAAGTATAACAAGAATTGTTGACGTTCGTGGCGAAGTGACAAGCAGGTGTATGTATGCGTGCGACCGCGTTAGCGCAGGACGCCAAGTGAAGAATGGCGCTCGGAAGAGCCGCTATTCATGATGCGGTAACGTCGTTAGCGGCCAGCGCTCCTATGCTTCGGCGCCCCATAAAGTTAGCACCGGCTCGCTGAGACGAACAACACCTCCGGAAACTTCTCTTCTGATCTCATCAATTCCATCACACCAACTTATCCTTCATTTCCATGCCCTTTCCCCTCTGGCAGGTCCTTCTCACGCTCGAAGCGCTCAATGGCGCAAGAGGAAAGGATCCTGCTGACCAGACTTTTTTACGCTTCCCTCAAGATTTTGAGCAAACAAGAGATTTTGGTAAGTTATCCTTCATCGGGCTAAAACTCAGCCAAGCAACACTGGGGGTGCAAAATTTCGAAACGCGTTGTGCCACGGAAACCTTGCAAAAATCACAACAAAAGGTAGAGACGCAGGAAATGGTTGCTCCGCTTCTCAGTTACCCCTCCAAATTCCATAAGCTTACCGTTTGATTGTTTCTGAGGTGCAACGTTGTTCGTGTCATAGAACGGATTCCGTCCGAGTTGAGCGTTGTGCATGCCATTCTGAAATATTTCAATTTTTCATACCGCGATTTTCTATCGACTGAACGATCGATCAATACCTATAGAAAGCGTATCTGACCCAGTTGCCTATTCTAAATTTGGCCTTACTATTAACCTGGATTTTTCACAAG